CTGGCTCATGTTCAGCCGGCTGTCAACCAGCACCCCCAGGGCCTTTTCTGCCAGGCAGCTTTCCAGCCACTCCTCCCCTAGCCTATAGTGCTGTGTGGGGTTGTTGTGACCCAAGTGCAGGACCCAACACTTGGCCTTGTTAAACCTCCTTCAGTTGGCCTCAGCCCATCGATCCAGCCTGTCCAGAGCCTTCCGTAGGGCCTTCCTGCCCTCGAGCAGACCAACACTCCTCACCAACTTGGTGTCATCTGCAAGCTTACTGACAGTGCACTCGATCCCCTTGGCCAGGTCATTCATAAAGATATTAAACAGAACTGGCCCCAATACTCAGTTCTGGGGCTACCACTTGTGACCGGCTGCCAGATGGATTTAACCCCATTCACTGCCACTCTTTGGGCTGGGCCATCCAGCCAGTTTTTTACCCAGTGACGTGTATGCCTGTCCAGGCTATGAGCAGCCAGTTTCTCCAGGAGAATGCTGTGGGAAGCGGGTGTCAATGGCTTTACTAAAGTCCAGGTAGGCAACATCCATGGCCTTTCCCTCATTGACTAGGCAGGTCACCTTGTTACAGAAAGAAATCAGGTTAGTCGAGCATGACCTGCTTTTCATAAACGCATGCTGACTGGGCCTTACCACCTGATTGTTCTGTACGTGCTGCTTGATGGCAGTCAAGATGATCTGCTCCGTAACCTTCCCTGGCACCAAGGTCAGACTGACAGGCCTGTAGTTCCCTGGATCCTCCTTCCAACCCTTCTTATAGATAGGTGTCACATTTGCTAACCTCCAGTCAACTACATAATATGGAAGCAAGTTTCACCTTCCAGCTTCTTTGTTTCTCCACAGGCTATTGGAACATCATTGTCCATGGGCGAAAGCACTCCTACAGACTGTACACGAAGCTGTTGAATGAAGCCATGCGCTGGGCTTCTGCCATTCAAGGTGTCATTGACAGCAAAGTTCCCATAGAAACACCTACACAGCAACTCATTCGTGACATCAGGGTAGGTGGCATCATGCTAATTCCCAGGTGAGCTGGGAGCAGCCAGGTCCCCACTGGCCTTACGCAGTCATTGCTGCGAATGTGGCAAGAAATGAAGTTGCTTTCTTAGGGGAGAAGAAAAAGTAAAAAAAAAAACAGAACAAAACAAAACCTAAATGACTGTACAACTAAATAATCAAATGTTATGTGAATTTTATTTTGAATTAGCATGTTAACTGATCTGCATGAGTCTAGGCTACAACTGTGTGCAATTACGAATTGCGTGCAGGATTGCACCATCAAGTATTTGCAAACCCCTGATTCATCCTTTCCTCTCCTAAGCATCCTTTGGACACAAATATAAAAATTTCCATTCCTACCAGCCATGTGACTTTGCTGTACCCTGAAGTCCTCTTTGTATTTTAGGCTTGTGTGGTTAAGTAGCAGAGAAAAAGGCAGAAAGAAAACGGCCTTCAAATTAGCAGAAATTGTGCCACTATAGCAGGAGTAATTTTTGAAAAGGCTTCTTTAAAGAAACTGTGGCAAGTTAAATGTAGAATCATATTGGAGGACACACCAAAGCATATTTCAGAAGAAATGTTTATGTAAACATATACATTGTGATGAGATCTAAATTAGATGCAATTAGATAGTAACTATTCAAGAAGAAAGAGCTGGGAGTGGATAGTGGAGACTCTTGGGAAACTTCAGCTCAGGGTTCAAGGACAAATGGAACCTTAAATATTGTTAGGGAAGCAATATAGGATGGAACGTGGAAGAATGTGATGCCAGTGTGTATGAACAGTGACAAGCTCAGATTTTGAACACCATGTGCGTTTTGGTTGTCCATTCTGTAAACACATGTAGTACAACCAGACAAATTCAGGCAGGACAGGCTCATTATTACATACTAAACGTGGTGTGTCTGTGGTCAGAAAGTTCATTAAACCGTTTATTGTTGAAAGCTTGAAGGATATACCAGGGAGGAATCATGCCATACAGGCCTGTTACAGGCTGCGTTAGGTATCAGCCGCAAGCCACATTTGAAGTGAAGATCCTGTGCTTGGTGACCTTTGGTATAACCTAGCGTGGCTATTCTTATGTTCAATTTTCAGAAATAATGTACAGAGGAATTTTTATATGTGAATTATACTTTAGACACCTAGTCCTTCTGTGGACCTCCAGAAACTTAGATAAAGGTAGTTGAGCTTGAACCTAAATGTATAAGGACAATCCTGCACAGGATTATCCCCATTTGAGGATAATTGTTTTTTTTTCCCCTCAGGAAAACAGCACAAACTTTGAAGTAGTGGAACAGACATATAGGAGGAACCCAATTTTGCGATATACCCAGCACCCTTTGCATTCCCCATTGCTCCCACTACCGTATGGAGATGTTAGTGTCAACTGTAAGTATTTTACCCGTGTGACAGAATCTGCTCATGTTTTGAGGATCCGTGTTGGGCCTGAGCACCACAAAAGTGGTCTGTAAGCTCTCTCTATGCAGGTGAAGTCCGTTTGGGGCAGTGTAGCCCACAGGGTTCAGAAAGGGAGCAGCCTTTCTCTGCCCAGAATGTATTCTGTGTCCACTGCCTCGTGTCTCAGGAACACTGAATCTCACAGTAAATGGGGGCAGGTAGTTTATCATCCGTCCAGGGGATGTGCAGCCTCTTGTCCTTGAGCTGCAACTGGGTTTACAGAAGCTGCTGTAAAACTCGACTAAATGGATCCTTTCTTCAAATGCCTCAGGAACATGAAAGAGCGAGACTGTTTGAGAGGCTGCCAGAAAACCGAAGTCATTTGTTGATGATTCCAGATTGTTTGGCATACTAAAACTGAAAGCTGCTGCTGAAGACCTATAGAAGAATCTCTTAACATGGAGTGACTGGGCCACAAAGTCTTTTCAGCAATTAATTTCAATCTGGATATGCAAAGCAATGTATATGGGGAAAAACAGTCTGCCACATAGGTAGTGATCTAATTCTGCTTAGGAAAGTGAACAGAAATTTACATAGCATTATGAAAATGTCAACTCTTGTGCTGAGCACAGAAACAAAACAGCTAATGCAAGGTTTTGAAAGCTTAGAAAAGGAAAACCAATGTCTTTGTGTGGCTGTATTGATGTATAATGTACCTGCATCTTGAATACAGAATGCAGTTTAGCCTTCCACTTCTTAACAAGATACAGGAGAAGTAAAAATGTACCTAAAGGTGATCAAAGGCATAGAAAGACTTGCCTACAATTAAAAGAGTAAATAGAGCAAGACTCTTCAGCCTTAAAAAGAAGTTTTTAGAGCTAGAGGACTGTCATGAAAAAAGTGAAAGGAGATTAACTGCTCACTGTCTCTCATGATGCAAGGATCAAATTAAGTGGCAGATTAAAAGCACAGAAAAAATAAATTCTGAAATTCAGAAAAATTACAGAGCAAGTACTTACACTGCGGAACTTATTGCTACAGGGCTGTGTGTTTGTATCGTACACGTAATGCATGGCCACTGGGGAAACAATGGCTGTATAGGAGATTCAGAAGGACCTACAGCCCCAGAGGTGTGCAAAGGAGAATGCAAGCCTGCAGCAGTATGGTAGAATCATGTACTTCTGAGCAATTGAAGGCAGACATTTAGATGCTTAAAAAACTTAACCAGTTTTGGTGTAGGCATTTTAAATCTAAACGATAGGTAAAAGCTGCATCTGTGGTACAGCAATTTGCCAAAATTCTGTGTTGGCCCAGGGGTCAAAGCTAATATGGAGACAATACAGAATTCTGGAAGTACACAAGCCAGGCTTCAGTGTCTGCATTCAGGCACCTAAAGCCTTAACTGCATTAGTGACCCTCTGCTTTACAACTGCTCTCCAGTGAGGAGACAGTTTACACAGAGATGACTTTCTGCCACCCCTTCACCTATGTCTGCAGATGAGACGCCAAAAGCTGTCTCTTGGTGTCTCATCTGCAGACACAGAAGCCCGACCTAGATTTTGGTGCTAGTTTCCCTTAAAAACATTACTCTGCTTTTCTGCACAGTATATCCAAAAATGGATTTGCAGTGGCGTTAAGTTAGATGTTGGCAAATACTAATTAAAACTGCATTTGCACATTCAAAGGGGAAGCATTAATGAATTTTGAGTATAAATTTAAGTTCAGGAGATGAGCTACCACTCAGGTTGCTGTTCTGTGACAGGCTAGTACAGTTGCTTGTAGTGTTGCTGGGCTGGTAGAAAATGAAGGAGATGCTCACCTCTTGTCACCTTTGTGATCGTTCCCCAGTGCAACAAGAGAAGGGTTACAGCAGCTTACAGGATGAAGCGGTGAAGATCTTTAACTCCCTTCAGGAAATCGAGACAGTGTCTGACCCCATACCCATTATCCAAGGCATTCTGCAGACCTGCCATGATCTAAAGCCCCTGCGTGATGAAGTGTACTGTCAGCTCATCAAACAAACTAATCACATGCCACATCCCAACAGTACAGGGAACCTGCACCACTGGCAGCTGATGGCATGCATGAGCTGCACTTTCCTGCCCAGCAGAGGAATCCTGCGCTACCTCAAGTTCCACCTGAGAAGGTACGCCTCCTTTTCGTTTGCAGCCTGCTTCCTTTCTCTCTGCTTATCTTCTGCTGCCTGTTGTAGTTATCTGTCTCGCCCTCCTCCGGTACAAACACCTTCCTGTGGTGTTGCAGCCTCCTACCTTTGTGCACAATTCTTGCTGCCCGGTGTTCTGTTGTATTCAAACTCCCCTCTTGCCACCCATCTGTTGTGGTGAAAGGATGTGGAAAGTAAGGCTACCCAAACAGAATACCATCAGCTTGTGTTAAAGTGGATTTACAGCTGCTGACCTACTGCTTGCTAATGTCCATATAAACATTCTCAGCCTGCAGGAAAGGTGAGGACTGTACTTTCATATACATTGAAATACGAATTACCTTGCAGCTGCCACGGGCAAAATCTGTACTGTGGAGTAGTAGATGTACTGTAATTCCAGTTTATAATTTTTTAATATTTGTTTGCTTAACTAAGCATGTAATGCTTACAATTTGTATTTCTAATCTACTTTAACCTCTGGTTTTCATGAACTAAATCATTTACTTTTCTTCCCAGTTATCTAATGGAGCTTTCCAAAGCAGTCTGTACTGGGGCTGATCTGCAGCCACGTAGCCTCGCTCCATTCAGTGACAATGAGAAAGA